TGAGACAGAGTTGCATACCATAAAGACAGAGATGGGGTGCTCAGTGGCAGATATTTTCAAGGAAGTGGGAAGGGCTGGGACCCACAACCCAGTAGAAATATATGAGCCCTAAACAGGACTTTGTTCTCTGAGACCCAAGTGAAGAAAAGTGTGAGTTAAGATAAAGGTCCTCTCTACCCAGGAGTTCTTAACCCAAGGTCCACGGGAGCCCATGAACTTGAATGGATCTTTATTTTCACTATTACTAATAGAAGTGTGGTATGTTGGGCCCTCCCTGGTGTCACAATAGATTAGGACGCAGCACTGCAAGTTGGCCGCAGCCACTTCAGTGTGAATTTGATCCCTGGCCCCCCAATTGATCCACATAGTGCGGCAGACCGCTCCTGACCCATCCGCTGCTCCCCTCAGCAGTTATCTGCCTGTTCTGTTCCCTACTCTGTCTCTGGTGAATCCTCTCACCGCCCCTGCACCTCTGGCTTGAACCCCAGCTCTGTATGAATAAATAAATAAATCTTAAAAAGAAAAGAAATGTGGCATGTCCATCTAGATAATGTGGGTAACAAATTACAGTAGTATCAGTGGGACCCATGGCTCTGTCTCCAATAGAAATAAAATCTTCAAAGATACATCATCCAAAGCAAGGATAGTGAAAGAAAGGATAAACAGCTGGGACTAAATCAAGTTAAAGAGCTTCTGTACAACAAGAGACACATTACACAAAACAAAGAGACACGCCACTAATTGGGAGAAAATATTTCCAAACAATACTAATGACAAAGGACTCATCACAAAGGTACACAAATAGCTGATTAAACACAACAAAAATAAAGTGAACAACCCCATCAAAAAATGGGCAGAAGAGCTACAAAGACATTTCTCCAAAGAAAAAATGCAGATGGCCAGCAAGCATACGCAAAAATGCTCGAAATCACTTGTAATAAGGGAGATGCAAACTGAAACCACAATGAGATACCACCTCACCCTAGTGAGAATGGCATATCTTAAAACAACTAGCAATAGCAAATGTTGGCATGGATGTGGAGAAAAAGGAACTCTCCTGCACTGCTGGTGGGAATTCAAGCAGATACAGCCACTATGGAAAGCTGTGTGGAGGTTTCTCAAAAGGCTAAAAATAGAGCTTCCATATGACCCGGCAATCCCACTCCTAGGTATCTACCCAAAGTACACAAAAACATTGATTGAAAAGGACACCTGCATCCCCATGTTTATTGCTGCTGTATTTACTATTGTAAATAGATGTTGAATCAACCCAAATACCCAAAAATAGATGACTGAATTAAAAAGATGTGGTACATATACACAATGCAATATTACTCAGTAATAAAAAGATAAACTCAGGCCCTCCCTGATGGCACAACGGGTTAGGATGCAGCACTGCAAGCTAGCCGCAGCCACTTTAATGCAAGTTCGATTCCCCGCCCCGGAGGTGATCTACATGGCACAGCAGACCTCTCCTGTCTTGCCCACTGCTCCCCTCAGCAGTCAGCAGTGTACTTCATTTATCTGTCTGTTCTGCTCCCCACTCAGTATCTCGTGAACCTTCTCACCATCCCTGCACCTCTGGCCTGTACCCCAGTTCTGTATGCATAAATAAATACATATTTTAAATAAATAAATAAAAATATAAACTCATGCCTTTTGCAGCAACATGGATGGAGGTGGAAGGGATCATGCTTCGTGAAATAAGCCAGAAAGAACGAGAAAAATACTGGATAGTTTCACTCATAGCAGGAGCTTAAGGAATCGGGGAGGGGGGAGGCAGAGAGAGAGAGACAAACAAAGGTAGTAGAGCAAAAATGAAAACAGTGAACAACTATATACCAGAGACATTTTATGGGGGTGGAAAGGGGAATGTGATCAGAACTGGGGTGTGATCAGCACTGGACTATGATGATGGCACATGGGTGAATTGGTGGTGGGAAGCCCATGGGGGATTACAACTGAGATGGAAAAATGCACAAAATGAGGAATAATATAAAAAAATAAAAATATATAAAAGAAGAAAATGATATTTTCATAGTTTATCATGGTTGTTACAGATCTCTCAAAGTAGCATCACTATTTCGAAATTATGGTAGTCACTCAACCTGTTGAGAGAGCATAGTATTCATTGTACTGATAAAGAAGCAGATGTGTGTGTGTGTGTGTGTGTGTGTATATACACACACACACACACATATATATACATATATATACTACATTACAGATGTGGTGTTTATTATTTTAGTAATGGTATTTATTTTATAATCCTATTTTTATGTATATGTCATCCTGGAAAGTTTCCCTAGATTTCGCCAGACTGCCAAATGTGTCCACAGCATTAAAAAGCTAAGAAACACCACTCCTGGGTTTCTACCCAAAGAGCACAAAAACATTAATTGAAAAGGACACCTGTGCCCCATGTTTATTGTTGCTCTATTTACAGGGGGAGAGATGGAACCAACCCAATGCCCAAAAATAGATGACTGGATGAAGAAGATGTGGTACATATACACAATGGAATCTTATTCAGCAGCCCAAAAAGATAAACTCATGGTTTTTGCAGTAACATAGATGGAGCTGGAAGGGATCATGCTTAGTGAAATAAGCCAGAAAGAAAAAGAAAACTACCGGATGGTTTCACTCATAGCAGGAACGTAAGAGATCAGGAAAAAAAAAAAAAAAGCAACTGAATAAAGTAAAAACAAAATCAATGAACATCTGTAAACCAGAGACATTTTACCGGGGTGGAGAGGAAAATAGGATCAAAATGGGTGGGAAGGGTACACGGGACCATGGTGATGGGTGAATTGGTGGTGGGAAGTCCATGGGGATTACAAACGAGATGGAAAATGTACAAAATGAAGAATAATGTAAAAAAGAATAATAGATATATCTTAAAAAGGCTAAGAAACAGTGTTCTGAAGAGTAACAGTAGCTAATGTTAATATAGCTCTTGCTAAAGGTTGGGCATTGTTCTAAGTACCTTTACCCCCTATATCATTGTTAACTCATTTATTCCTAACAACTGTATAGAGGAACCCTCACAGGAGACTGAGATGCCAGTAATTAAGTAATGTGCCCAAGGCCATTCAATTAGTATATGACAGAACCGAGATGAAAGCTCAAGTCTTTTGGTTTCAGAGTCTGTACCGAAAAGTCTAAGAGTTGAATTGGCAGACTGTCAAAGCAGCAAATTGGTTGCAGAGTAAATAAAGGGGACAGTGAATAAAGAGAGAAGGGGAATGATGATCTACAGTGTCTAGATGAACAGTAGGAAGAGACTGTCAGTTTGGAAGAAAATGGAATGGCCCAAAGAACACCAGGGGTCAAGGAGATAAAAGAAGTGGTAGAGGGGAGGAGCCTGGGAGAACATGGTCAGAGTGACAGGTGGTGGTGTGTAAATGAGGGGTTGTGGTCACTACAGGGCATGACAAGGTTAATAATATGGCCTAAATAGGGTGGTTTAAGTATAGATGAGGTGAAGGACCCTGGAGTTGAGCAGATGAAGGAATCATCACATTGGCATTGTGCTCCTCTCAGCAAGTATGTCTCAGAATATCTGATCCCTAACATCTGTCTGTTAGTAGATATCTATATCATAGCTCTGTGATCCTATCTGCTGTCTCTGTTCCTTTCTGCCTAAGCATATTTCTCTCTATGTGACTCTCAGGCCCTCCATCTTTCGATGGCCATGTCTGTCCCAGTATCTGTTTTTCTGTCCCTTCCTTTGTCTGTATCTACTGTAATCATCTCATTTTCCAAATGCACTGTCTTCCTAGAAAGTGTGATTTTTTAAAATTATTTTTCCTTGGGGTATCCCCAGAGCCCTGAATAGAGCTTGGCATATAGGTGTCATGCAGAGAAGTTTATACTTGAATGAAGGTTTTCTCAGAGGAAAAAGGGACATACATATTCAATCTCCTGCCCTCCCCTTCCCCTCTGGAGCTGACACTTGCCCAAAGGTGGGTTAGAAAGTCAGAAGGTGAGTGTGTTGGTATTGTGCTGCTGTTACTGTTTTTTTCTTTTATTCCCCCAATTTTTCTCAGTGACTCTGTTTACATAACTATATAGTTTTGTGCACGTTTCATTCACCCTCCACCAAAGCTTCAGTAGCTCTGCTCTATCACATTACCCTCTCTATCCCTTCCTTAGCCTTTCCCTCTGGTAAGCAGCATATTTTTCAAGACATAGAACCAGCCTAAATGCCCATGGGCAGGTAACGGCTTATAGAAATTGTGGAACATACACTCAAAGTTATTTATTTATTTATACTTAAAGACTTAATTATTTATGCATACAGGAACTGGGGTACAGACCAGAGGTGCTGTGGGTGAGAGGATTCACCAGAGACACAGTGGGGAGCAGAATAGGAAGACTGACTGAAATGCACTGCTGAGGGGAGCAGCAGTTGAGACCGGAAGGGTCTGCCCCGCCATGTGGGTCAGCTCCCTGGCCAGGGATGGAACTTGTGCTGCAGAAGTTGCGGGACAGTTTGATAGTGCTGTGCTTTAACCCCTTGGGCCATCAGGGAGGGCCCTACTCACGTTATTTATAAAGATGATCTGTAGTATTTTAGGGACAAAAATGGTTGGATCTTGGGGTGATTATGCTAACAGAAATAAGTTACAAAGAGAGATAGGGTTTACTCGTTTGTGAGGTATAAATACATAAAGAAAACAAACTGGTAAAACACCACAAAAATAATTCTCAGGCCATTGCTTTCTTTCCTCCGGTGAAATAACTCTGGGAACATCTAGCCAGGCCTGGCTGGCTCGCCTTCTCAGTCCGGAAAGCAAACGGCTGGCCCGGGCCGGACGTCTTGCGCAGCGACCCGCCCCCGCCGCCGCCCCCTCGCTCCGCCCCCCAGCCCCAGACACCCCATCTCAGGGCCTTCCGT